ACAGAATATCAAATATAGCACTGCAACTGTGTCAAAGGCCTTTTTGCTGTCCAAGAAAATGTGTGTACATGTATGTATGTATGTGCATATGTGTGTGTGTGTGTGTGTGTGTGTGTGTGTGTGTGTGTGTGTGTGTGTGTGTGTGTGTGTGTGTGTGTGTGTGTGTGTGTGTGTGTGTGTGTGTGTGTGTGTGTGTGTGTGTGTGTGTGTGTGTGTGTGTGTGTGTGTGTGTGTGTGTGTGTGTACTCGCCTAATTGTACTCACCTAATTGTGGTTGCAGGGGTCGAGACTCAGCTCCTGGCCCCGCCTCTTCACTGATCGCTACTGGATCCTCTCTCTCTCTGCTTCCTGAGCTTTGTCATACCTCTTCTTAAAACTATGTATGGTTCCTGCCTCCACTACTTCACTTGCTAGGCTATTCCACTTGCTGACAACTCTATTACCTGGAGTTTACCTGGAGAGAGTTCCGGGGGTCAACGCCCCCGCGGCCCGGTCTGTGACCAGGCCTCCTGGTGGATCAGAGCCTGATCAACCAGGCTGTTGCTGCTGGCTGCACGCAAACCAACATACGAGCCACAGTCCGGCTGATCAGGAACTGACTTTAGGTGCTTGTCCAGTGCCAGCTTGAAGACTGCCAGGGGTCTGTTGGTAATCCCCCTTATGTGTGCTGGGAGGCAGTTGAACAGTCTCGGGCCCCTGACACTTATTGTATGGTCTCTTAACGTGCTAGTGACACCCCTGCTTTTCATTGGGGGGATGGTGCATCGTCTGCCAAGTCTTTTGCTTTCATAGTGAGTGATTTTCGTGTGCAAGTTCGGTACTAGTCCCTCTAGGATTTTCCAGGTGTATATAATCATGTATCTCTCCCTCCTGCATTCCAGGGAATACAGGTTTAGGAACCTCAAGCGCTCCCAGTAATTGAGGTGTTTTATCTCCGTTATGCGCGCCGTGAAAGTTCTCTGTACATTTTCTAGGTCAGCAATTTCACCTGCCTTGAAAGGTGCTGTTAGTGTGCAGCAATATTCCAGCCTAGATAGAACAAGTGACCTGAAGAGTGTCATCATGGGCTTGGCCTCCCTAGTTTTGAAGGTTCTCATTATCCATCCTGTCATTTTTCTAGCAGATGCGATTGATACAATGTTATGGTCCTTGAAGGTGAGATCCTCCGACATGATCACTCCCAGGTCTTTGACGTTGGTGTTTCGCTCTATTTTGTGGCCAGAATTTGTTTTGTACTCTGATGAAGATTTAATTTCCTCATGTTTACCATATCTGAGTAATTGAAATTTCTCATCGTTGAACTTCATATTGTTTTCTGCAGCCCACTGAAAGATTTGGTTGATGTCCGCCTGGAGCCTTGCAGTGTCTGCAATGGAAGACACTGTCATGCAGATTCGGGTGTCATCTGCAAAGGAAGACACGGTGCTGTGGCTGACATCCTTGTCTATGTTGGATATGAGGATGAGGAACAAGATGGGAGAGAGTACTGTGCCTTGTGGAACAGAGCTTTTCACCGTAGCTGCCTCGGACTTTACTCTGTTGACGACTACTCTGTGTTCTGTTAGTGAGGAAATTATAGATCCATCGACCGACTTTTCCTGTTATTCCTTTAGCACGCATTTTGTGCGCTATTACGCCATGGTCACACTTGTCGAAGGCTTTTGCAAAGTCTGTATATATTACATCTGCATTCTTTTTGTCTTCTAGTGCATTTAGGACCTTGTCGTAGTGATCCAATAGTTGAGACAGACAGGAGCGACCTGTTCTAAACCCATGTTGCCCTGGGTTGTGTAACTGATGGGTTTCTAGATGGGTGGTGATCTTGCTTCTTAGGACCCTTTCAAAGATTTTTATGATATGGGATGTTAGTGCTATTGGTCTGTAGTTCTTTGCTGTTGCTTTACTGCCCCCTTTGTGGAGTGGGGCTATGTCTGTTGTTTTTAGTAACTGTGGGACGACCCCCGTGTCCATGCTCCCTCTCCATAGGATGGAAAAGGCTCGTGATAGGGGCTTCCTGCAGTTCTTGATGAACACAGAGTTCCAAGAGTTCCTCGTACGACATTCCCTTGAGCTCTGGGACTAGCCTTGTTGCAAACCTTTGTACTTTCTCTAACTTCTTGATGTGCTTGACCAGGTGTGCACGTAATATTATGCCTAATAAGCTAAACTGGTGAAACAAACTGAACTTCCATAAAAATGTAGTTTTGAAAATTATGTATTATTACAGCAGAAGGTGTGAAGTACAGAGCCTTCACTCTGAAGGAGGGGTGGAGATACTGCAGACAGGAGGATTATACGAATTGTGATGTCTGTGTACTGCATGTCCCCTACTGAATGAGTTATTGTAAATGGTTTTGTGTGTTTCCTCTTTTGGGTAACTTGCCTTGGTGGGAGATGGCTGGTGTTAAAAATTTTTTTTATGTACAGTGGTACCTCGAGTTTCGAACAACTCCCAACCCGAACAATTATGTAAGTGTATTTTTGTAAGTGCTTTTGTAAGTGTATTTTTTGGGGTCTGAAATGGACTAATCTAATTTACATTATTCCTTACGGGAACAAATCTGTTTGGCATCGGCCCTCAAACAGCCTTCTGGAACGAATTTAAGTTCAAAACTCGAGGTACCACTGTATTAAGAAAATATATAGTATGTATTTTTTGATGTTTTGATTGACTTTCTTACTTATTGCAATGACAAATTTTCACACTCATCAGGCAACATGATGCTTGCCAAATAAGCAATTTCAGTAAATTCTGACAAGAAAGCAAGACATACAGTGCACGTCATAAAAGTAGGTAGTGTGAAAAGCACCCAACATAATTTAATTTCCAAATACCATACCCAGGATCATTTGTCGAAAGACAATTATACTGGAATGGCAACCTGAAGCATAATGTCTTTAGATTTTATAAGTCACTGACATGAGGGACACTTTGCAGAGATCATTGGATTACATAATGCATGCCATCAAATAAAGAAAATAGTAGAAGGCAGTGATGTTTAAGTGTCCAGTGAGGACCTAGTTGCATCAGGTCCTTGAGGACAGTGTTCATGACATGCCCACATCAAAAGAACATGCAGGGAAGCCTAGAAATAAATCCCCATTAACATTAACTGTAATAACATACCTAGAGTTAGTGTGTTATCATTTGCTCGAATCTTTCAGGGTGGTGCAAATTTTTCAAGAAAACAGTGCTCCTTGCCACACCACAAAATATGTTGTTCAATGGCTTTGTGACTGAGGTACCCTTCATCTATGTCTGACCAAGACACTTACTGGACATGAACCCCATTGACAACGTCTGGGCTAAGATAGAGATCTCTACTAAGGAAAAGATATCAGCCTACTCCCATGCTTACAGGATGTCATCCACGAGTCGTGGAGCGATTTACCCCATGAAACCCTAGAGAATGTGTGTTATTCACTTCCTAGAAAAGTGATTAATAGTATCCATGGTAATAATATTATGTTAAGCCTGATGGTTCTGTGGTTATTTATCACTGAAGCAGCTGACTGGAAGGGTTGCCAAATGAAATTTTCAAATAGCACTAGACTCTTGCCTAAAATAGCTAAATGTGAAACAGTGCTAATAGTGTTAGCTCTATGTCACGTTAATAACACATCATGCATTACTCTCACTCACCAGTATACAGGTGATTATTCTATATCTGTTTAATCCCAATCAACCATCTCTTCCTCAGTGTGTGTAGCTGTTTCTTGCTGTGACTGGCCGTGTTCTCTTTCTACTCACAGTCTCAATACATGAAAGCTGATGTGTCCATGGCTAGGACTGCATATTGATTTATGATGGTTTTTTCATGCGTTTTAAAAATATTTCAACATTTGTGTTAAGTTTATTGATTTTACTATTTAATAACAGTACATTTATACTACTGCAACACAACCAAAACAAACCTACAATGTGCATAGGTTGTGTATTACTGTTGTATACCAGCATGTATGTGTAGTTATTTGAACCCCTTTTAGTATACTGCAATATTACTTTTGCTTTTTATGTCTGATAATGTTCCCTTAACCCTTCTCTTGTATAAATTACTAAATTTAAAATTAAAAACTTTTGTTTATCTTTTTAGGTCACCCTGCCTTGGTGGGATTTGGCTAGCGAGTTGAAAAAAAAAAAAACGACATTGTCTTAATATCAGGAACATTTGAAGCGAGTAAAAATATTATTACCAGGTGGTTTGATGGTAAAAACATGAATTAGCCTACTGATACTACCTGTAGTCCATCCAGCTCTATGGCCTGGTGTACCTTAGCCTACCGCTGCTAAGCGTCAACAAATGTTTACGATTATGGCTATTTGTTATTTATTCATTATTTATACAAAATAGTTTATACAACTCATTATTGGTTCAGTAAACCATACCCCCGGCCGGGATTGAACCCGCGGTCATAGAGTCTCAAAACTCCAGCCCGTCGTGTTAGCCACTAGACCAGCTAGCCACAATAAGATTCATCCAACTAGGTATATTTCTACACCATAGGAAAGTTAGCACAGGCACCTCTGTGACCACAAATGCAAGTTTTTACAGACGAATCTCCAGCTAGCGTGGCCGTGACGAACTCTAGCTCAAGTCCCTTCACTGCCGTCAACATGACTCAAGAAATTGTAATGACACGATTGCAAATAAACCATACCCCCGGCCGGGATTGAACCCGCGGTCATAGAGTCTCAAAACTCCAGCCCGTCGCGTTAGCCACTAGACCAGCTAGCCACAATAAGATTCATCCAACTAGGTATATTTCTACACCATAGTGGCTAACGCGACGGGCTGGAGTTTTGAGACTCTGACCGCGGGTTCAATCCCGGCCGGGGGTATGGTTTATTTGCAATCGTGTCATTACGATTTATTGAGTCATGTTGACGGCAGTGAAGGGACTTGAGCTAGAGTTCGTCACGGCCACGCTAGCTGGAGATTCGTCTGTAAAAACTTGCATTTGTGGTCACAGAGGTGCCTGTGCTAACTTTCCTATGGTGTAGAAATATACCTAGTTGGATGAATCTTATTGTGGCTAGCTGGTCTAGTGGCTAACGCGACGGGCTGGAGTTTTGAGACTCTGACCGCGGGTTCAATCCCGGCCGGGGGTATGGTTTATTTGCAATCGTGTCATTACGATTTCTTGAGTCATTGGTTCAGTATCAAAACACTTCTCTAGGCTTAGGCTGAGGCCTATGAACAATGTAACCTTTGGCCTCCAAGATGCTGGGTAAATTTTCGAGACTTAAAACAGTGTCTTCAATGCCATGAAATATAGTAAGTACACAATTAAACCAGTTAGAGAAGTATACATACAGAGCTGTGACTAGAATAAAACCGATATGCTCTATGATGTGACAATAAGAAAGACACATCTTCAGAATCTGACTAAAGTCATCACAGTTTCAATTAACACATAACAGAGAGACTAAAAACAAACCTATAATGAGAAAGTCTGAAAGCATGTTGCTTATTACTAAATTAACAAATAATTAAAATGTGGTTGAATTTCATTAGAATCTTAAAATTGATTTCCTACACCAACACAAAATCATTAAATTATTATTAAATGTTTGCACACAATATAAGCATTCAAATATATAAAAACTATTAAAGAATTCCAACAATGTACACCATAAAGCAGCTCAAAAAACTATGGTATAATTTTTTAATACCAGGAATCAAGCACTACACAGACTTCATGCAACTTTCTGCTTGCATTGCTTGAAAAATCGTGATACTGTTTCTGACAGATGAGGTCCTGCTATATTTTATTCTTCATTTTTACACCGAAATATTTGTCTGCATCAGTCAAAAATGGTATTATAATCGTGGAGGCACACTAAACCTGTAAGGGTTATACAGCACCTGAGGGAATGGTAGGCAATCAGATTCAACCCTAGTTAGATCCAATTCCTTGGATTACAAGTTCTTCACTGGTATCAAGACACTTCTCTTGCTTAGGTCAAAGGGTATTCCTTATTAACTGATATTCTCAGTTAATAAGAGGTGCTACAGTATAGTATGGCAGCCTTCCCTTTCAATCATTCTCAGGACACAACACACAGTCAACACCTTATCTGTTGCTGTCTTCCTGAATATAATCACCAACATTAAGAAAGGGAGTAGAACAATACTTCTGATCAACCACTGCTGTATAACTAGAATGTAATGTAATGTACAAAAAATATCTTGTAAACTTGGCCATTTCAAAGCAGGGAGCATGGATTAGTGCACTGGAAAAGCTGCAGCAAAAAAAAAGAAAAAGCCATCTCTGATTAATGTAATTGTTTTCCTGGTAAAGGGACACAAACATAATTTGATTAATTTTTTCAAATCATTATTTTTAGTTGATAGGTGTGCAGATAAATGAGGTCCTACTGTACATAAATAAGTTTACTGAGTAATTAAATCAATTATTTTGAATTCATCATTTACTTTAATAGTTTCAGTAGGAACTATTCATTAACTTATTATTGAACTCCTGAAAACCCAGTGCAAACATGAACATTACATTTAACATATTTTGTAGCAATAAAGTTAACATTGAAAGTAAGATAACACAACACGTACCATGCACTGATCTTAAGCTATGATCATCACAAAATAAAATATGTATGTAGCTTATGGACTGAGTATTATTCAGTTGAAAATTGTAAAAACAGTTCTCTTTATTTCATCTAGAGTAATTTAAATCCATTATAGTTCACACCAAGTGTATAAACTGCATTTACAAAGATGATTTATATTTAATAATGCAGTTGAATCACAAATGCCCATGATTTATGATTTGCAGAAAAAAACATAGTGAAATTTGTAACTGCCATAGTTTTTTCTGAAAACCTAATTATATTCATTCAACTCCATCTAAAAGTCCAAAAATAATTATATTCATTCCAGTCCTTGTAAGAGACCGAGGCTAAAGTAAAGTATAGATCTATACTTACATCTAAACATTCGATAAACTTCACTCTTTGAACTTGATTTTATGCAACTTAAGCTTAAAGCCAAGTAGATCCGAAAGAACACCGAGCATGCTGAGAGGACAACAAGACGTGTTATATTGTAGAGGAGAGGATTGGCCGACAGCCCAGAAATCTTGAAGGGACTCTCCAATTCCTGTTGAGTACACAATAATGTATTTTAAATCTCTCTAATTTCACATCAGTGTGAAAATAAGTGATAGAAAACCACTGTTAACAAAGACCAGCAAACAGTATCATCAAGTCCTGTCACATGACCTCTTCAACTGGAGTACCTTTCTCACTCCAGGTGAAGAGGTCATGTGATATGGTATAGTGACACTGGTTTATTGTCTTTGCTAACAGTGGTTTTCAGTCACATACTGTATATTAACCCTTTGACTGTTTCAGTCGTATATACACCTACCATCCGACTTACGACCGAGTTCGGTTCCGAGAAACCGGTCGTAAGTCGAACTTTACTACTGAATATCAACAAAACATTTTTGTAATGACTTTATTTTATTGTTTTATTTTGGTATTTCATGTTTTACTTTACTTTTTATGTTGTTAGTACTGCATTTTATACTGTAAGGTTTAGGATAAACACTGTGTACAACACAAATAGTTGTTTATTTCCTAGAAATTTGGCATAAAAAACATGGTCGTAAGTCGAGTGGTCGTAAGTCGGATGGTAGGTGTATACGTCTTACGAACCAATGTGTTTGACGTATATATACTCAAAAATTCTAGCGTCTTCAAATCAAGTAGGAGAAAGCTGGTAGGCCCACATGTGAGAGAATGGGTCTGTGTGGTCAGTGTGCACTGTATAAAAGAAATCCTGCAGCACGCAGTGCTTAATGAGAAAAAAAAAAACTCCTACCGTGTTTTTTGGATTAAAATGCCGATTTTGAGGTGTATTTTTGTATAGTTTTTATGATTATATTCTCGTTTTCGTAGTCACATTTCACAGAAGGGAAAACATATTATAGAAATAGATGTGATTTTGATTGGTTTTACTATGAAAAGAACCTTGAAATGGAGCTCAAAGAAGGAGAAATGTTTGATTTTTGCCAATGTTCAAGAGTAAACAAATGATGTCACTGTCCAATAAGTGTCCAACTAGCCATTCTAATGTGCAGTCATGAATGGGTTGACATTATTTATACAATTATTACAATATTACAGTAGTCTGCATAACAGTAAATCTTCTATTTTTTGTTTGAATAAAAATTCAAATAAAAAGCAAGAGTAATATCAGAGGGGCCTGGAGATGTGACTGATGAACAAAGAAAATTTTATTTTAGAGCCAGGAATGTCTGCACTGTTCATTTTGGATCCTATTTTGACCACTTTATTAGGTAGTTGAAATCGGTAAATGGGCAGTTTCTTGTACTCAATCGATAGAACAAATGTACAGTGGACCCCCGCATAACGATCACCTCTGAATGCGACCAATTATGTAAGTGTATTTATGTAAGTGCGTTTGTATGTGTATGTTTGGGGGTCTGAAATGGACTAATCTACTTCACAATATTCCTTATGGGAACAAATTCGGTCAGTACTGGCACCTGAACATACTTCTGGAGAGAAAAAATATCGTTAACCGGGGGTCCACTGTAGTTCTAAAGAAATAGTTATGAGTTTGGTCGACTGGAACAATGGAATTAGCCGATAATAGGGCTCAAAGTGGGTGAAATCGCTGATTCGTAAATATCGCTGAGGTCGCTAACTTTGCGAGAGCATAATTCTGCAAGTTTTCCATCAAATTTCATACTTTTGGTGTCATTACCATTTCAAAGAAATTTTTTTTTTTTTTTTTTTCAAATATTTTGCGACACCAGGAGACACCTCAGGATTTGGGGTTGCAACAGTCAGAGTTAAATATTACATGCATACTATCCTTTGTAAAAAAAAGAATTTCTTTCTATAGTGTTTAAAGTGAAGGTGTGAAGCAAATACACCTACCATCCAACTTACGACCTGCTCGACTTACGACCACTCGACTTACGACAGTGTTTTTTTATGCAAATTTCTGGGAAATAAACAACTATTTGTGTTGTACACAGTGTTTATCATAAACCTTACAGTATAAAATACAGTACTAACAGCATAAAAAGTAAAGTAAAACATGAAATAGCAAAATAAAACAATAAAATAGTCATTACAAAAATGTGATGGTGATATTCAGTAGTAAAGTTCGACTTGCATCCATTTCGACTTACAACCGGTTTCTCGGAACCAAACTCGGTCGTAAGTCGGATGGTAGGTGTACATTATTGTACAATGCATCAATGACTGGCTCAAAGGAGCAATTATTGTAAAGAATTTTTTAATAGAAATCACAGACAATTCCAAGTACAGTGGACATTCATAATTTGTGTGGGTAGTGTTCATTTATAAAAACTGCACTCTTAATGATTTCCGCAACTCCAAGTGAAAAATATATGGTGAAAATTAGGGCTGTGCTCCTCAGAATGCCCCCCCCCCCTCCAAAAAAAAAGAAAAAAAATCTTTACTATCACAATTCTTTGGAAAATAATACTTTTTCCTACCTAATTTGGTTGATGAGAATGCTCTGTGAAATACCTGAACTCTAGTGAGTTTCAAAAATTGAAAAAGAAGAGTACATGTGGCTTAAAAATAGTTACATTAATACTACACAGCATTTGGTATTGCCTTCAAGTTGGGTTGGTGATACTTAACATCCTACAGTGAATGGAGAGAGTGGCTATGGTCCTACTATGCCCAGGTTAAACCTTTGTTTCCTTGTGCCATCTCCATGACATAGTGCACCACCCTCCAGTATCTCAATTTATCATGGCATCCAAACGAAGTACAGACAACACTTGTGAAGCATCACCTGCACTTCATTTGGATGCCATGGTATACAAGCGGGCCCAGTTTTACAGCATTTCACTTTTCAGCGTTTTGCTAATACAACGGCTTTCAATTATACATATTCTTCATTTATTCAGACTTCCCACAATAAATATATTCACCAATCACTATAAGCTAAGAATGAAAATATTTTAAGGTAGGTAATATTTATCATTATTTTTATTAATATCTATCACAAAAACAGAGCTGAGACTAACCTTCAGAAGCACAGAAACAAGTTTAAGAACATTGTTGGCAAGTGTAAGTTCATCTTTCTTCTGTGGTTTCTGCTCCATGTGTAGATACATATTGATCTGCTCTGTGATAAGAACAGAGAGACTAGAGTATTTCTTGTTGATCATGGCACCCAACGTCATGAATCGAATTAGGTAGATACCAATTGCAAAACACCTGCAATATTACATGAAAGGATTATTCCTTTTACAATTTTGTCATAAACAGAAGTTAGTGCCATTTTTAAATCATTTATCCACAGTAAAACTACTAAGGACGATACATGTAATGGTATCCCAATCCTCACCTGAAGGTTTGTTTCTTTAATTACATCACATCACTGTACCAATTATCTCCTAACCTCTCCATTTAGCAGTCTCCTGTTCTGATCATAGAGTTAGGAAGCCTAATTTAATAGAATGTTGAAAAAGAAAAAAGAATTTGCAAGACTGCCTTCTCTTGTAAGATCTAAACATCCCCATTTCTTTCCAACTTTCCATTAGCCACACCACTACCCAGCCTTATCTCCCTAAAAAAACAGTTCTCATTCATAAGATGATACAATGTTTTTGTCTATATTCAGGCAGTAAATAAAAAAAATGCTTCCAGGCAACATGAGCTAAAAATGTCTCTCTTCTTTACTTTACTGAACTCTTGTCATACCCTTCTGTACATTTTAAAAATATCTTGCACAATACTGACTGCTTCCCCAGTTTCCTAGGATTCAAGTATTGGTGATTCATCCCACAATGACCTCCTTCCCATTCTTGACCTTAACACTGCCCTTCAAGATTATTTTTTTAATATTCCCATAGTTTGTGCCTTTTTATCTTTTCATTGTGGCTGTCTTTCTCACTCTGAAAAGCTCCTAGAGGTAACATGGCATGAAAGACAAATACTTCACTTCTGCATTCAAATCACTTTATAGTACAGATAATATTGTCACTCACCAAAAGAATAATTCATAGGTGTATAATGAATGATGAGTCTTTTCATCTTCCTTCAACAATTCAAAGCAGAGATATGACACAAGCAAGAGAGTAATAATGAATGTTGCAGACACAATAACGTCAACTGATCGCTGGGGTCCCCGTTTCTGTAAAAAAGAAGCCATTAAGGAGGGATCCTTGATGCTGGTGAAGGGTTCATAATTCAACAACCTGGTGCAACCCTCCACTTCCACGAATCAAATTTAATTACCTGCCATATTCCAGGGAGAGTATGACCCCAATGGGCTAAAGAATTTTGCCATGACTGCAATAATAATGTAGAAAACTATGTAATCATATTCATTTAGAAATTATTATTATTTATTTTTATTTTTTTTATTAACACATTGGCTGTTTACTACCAAGGCAGGGTGGCCCGAAAAAGAAAAACCTTTCATCATTCACTCCATCACTGTCCTGCCAGAGGCATGCTTGCGCTACAGTTATAAAACTGCAAAATTAACACCCCTCCTTCAGATTGCAGGTATTGTACTTCCCATCTCCAAGACTCAAGTCCAGAATGCCGGTTTCCCTGAATCCCTTCATAAATGTTACTCTGCTCACACTCCAACAGCACGTCAAGTATTAAAAGCCATTTGTCTCCATTCACTCCTACCAAATACGCTCATGCACGCTTCCTGAAAGTCCAAGCCCCTCACACACAAAACCTCCTTTACCCCCTCCCTCCACCCTTTCCTAGGCCGACCCCTACCCTGCCTTCCCTCCACTACAGATTTATACACTCTCGAAGTCATTCTGTTTTGTTCCATCCTCTCTACATGCATGAACCACCTCAACAACCCCTCCTCAGCCCTCTGGATAATAGTTTTGGTAATCTCGCACCTTCTCCTAATTTCTAAACTATTATTATTATTAAAATAATTTTTGCTATAACTATTATTATAATATAATTATTTTTATTTTTTTTTTAACAAGTCGGCCGTCTCCCACCGAGGCAGGGTGACCCAAAAAGAAAATACTTTCATTATCATTCAACACTTTCACCTCACTCACACATAATCACTGTTTTTGCAGAGGTGCTCAGAATACAACAGTTTAGAAGCATATACATATAAAGATACACAACATATCTCTTTAAACTGCCAATATCCCAAACCCCTCCTTTAAAGTGCAGGCATTGTACTTCTCATTTCCAGGACTCGGGTCCGGCTATATAAAAATAACCGGTTTCCCTGAATCCCTTCACTAAATATTACCCTGCTCACACTCCAACAGCTCGTCAGGTCCCAAATACCATAATTATGTCCACTTTCACTCATGCAATAAATTATGCTTCCTTCTACAATGCAGAAGTCATTATATACTATTAAAGTTGTCTACATTTATGTACTTTATTATTTATATTACAAATATTCAGGCAATGTAGACAAATCATTACTGATTATTATTATTATTTGTTACTGTTTTAACAAGTGATAAACTTCTTTCTTTCCACAGATGCCAGAACTCACCATCAATATCCCCCCCCCCCACCTCTTCTATTTTTAAGTTCAGCTCATCTTTCATAGACCCATCTGCCTACTTGAACACTCATATATGCAAATACATTCACTTCTATTTTATTTTTTTTTTTTTAATACACCAGCCGTCTCCCATCGAGGCAGGGTGACCCAAAAGAACACACACTTTCACCATCATTCATTCTATCACTGTCTTGTCAGAGGCACACCGACACTACAGTTCAGACGTCCCTCCAAACTGTAAATATCCCTCTTTCAGAGTACAGGCACTGTACTCAAACCTACAGGACTCAAAACAATAAATAAGAATTGCAGGCAATACAATATTTATTCACAAATATATCTGTTTAACTATCGACATGAAAGAGGCAATTTCATGTGAGGGAAAAAATGAGGAAAGATGGTAGTCTGTATATTCTGACTTCCAGCTGAGGTCTTTTTCAGCAGAAGAGATAATCTGCTGAAGAGGATCTCAGCTGGAGGTTGCAATATACAGACTACTATTCGTCTTAATTTTTGTGGAATTTCTCTCTCTCATTGATCGGTGCTCAATATGCTTCTAATTTTTTTTTTATTAACACACTGGCCGATTCCCACCAAGGCAGGGTGGCCCGAAAAAGAAAAACTTTCACCATGATTCACTCCATCACTGTCTTGCCAGAAGGGTGTTTTACACTACAGTTTTTAAACTGCAACATTAACACCCTCCTTCAGAGTGCAGGCACTGTACTTCCCATCTCCAGGACTCAAGTCCGGTCTGCCGGTTTCCCTGAATCCCTTCATAAAAGTTACTTTGCTCACACTCCAACAGCACGTCAAGTATTAAAAACCATTTGTCTCCATTCACTCCTATCAAACACGCTCACGCATGCCTGCTGGAAGTCCAAGCCCCTCGCACACAAAACCTCCTTTACCCCCTCCCTCCAACCTTTCCTAGGCCGACCCCTACCCCGCCTTCCCTCCACTACAGACTGATACACTCTTCAAGTCATTCTGTTTTGCTCCATTCTCTCTACATGTCTGAACCACCTCAACAACCCTTCCTCAGCCTCTGGACAACAGTTTTGGTAATCCCACACCTCCTCCCAACTTCCAAACTACGAATTCTCTGCATTATATTCACACCACACATTCTGCCACTTGTCTCCTATAAGTTTATTTTTATAACTAATGAATAATGCAATCAATAATAATGACTAAATCTATCATTAACAAAACAAATACACAAAAAAATATAAACCAGAGATATGCATATTTTTACCTTTAAACATGATCTAACTGAGAGCCATGTCTTAATATTGTGCACTTTGTTCAGCCTGAAGTGTGGTAGATCATATTTCCTGTGAAGTAAAAATAATTCAATGATAATCCAATAATAAAGTTTTTTCTTAAATGAAAATGAGCACAGACTCAGCCTCAGGTAAGGAAACTAAGGCAATCAACAAATTTCCTGTCTCTAACAGGGCATGCCCATATTTATATACAATAAACTCTCCTATAAAGCTGCATTACATTAAGCAATTTTATCTAAACCTGATTAAAAATTGTGTATCCTTCCTTGCATTTTGCTTTAAACAGCCTTGACAGCATTCTCAGTAAACATGAGAGCATACAGTTATGCACAGACTCTAGGTAGTCCTCAACCCATGTTAGATCTAATGGTAGTGTTTGAATCACTACCACCCACACAACCTACAGTTGCTTTCTGGGAGCATCGTCTGCCTTACTAAGTGTTTAGCAAATGATTTTGAATACTTTCATCATCCCCTCTCATCTCTAAGACATTAAATTTGGCACCCAAGAGGAACACTAGTGATGTAGTAGGTGCCAAGAAGAATTGAATCTCTAGTAGTACTGAATAAAGTTCTAATTTTAGATATGTTTCAAAGCGGTGTACATGTGATGTAAAACAGACTGCCCACACTTTAGGTCTGAGAGAATTCACTACCTGAACAATTAGAAACAAAGAGAAGGAAATAAGAGCTTATACAGTGACTAGAGCAGATCATGACTCGATAAAAAATAAAAAGTCAAAGAGGTCCATACTGTAGAGTACAACAGACAAGAGATGCATTACATAATACCTGAGTGCTCCAGCACAACCATCAACTACTAACAACTCTTCATCCACAGAACCAAAGTCATCCACCTTGGCTCATTAGGGCCACATTAACCCTTTCCACATATTTCCATGTCAACAAGCAACAACAGCTAGAACGAAAGGTAAAATAAGCTGTACTAATTTGTATCTACAAGAATAAATGAAGTTGTTTCACAAATATGAACTTCTCTCTAATGCAACCCTATTTTTCTGTATTCTTCAAACACTTTTCAATAAGTTGCCAATTTTCAGAAATGTACAAACTCCACAAATTAGACAGGGTCACATGTGGCTCTTCATCATTTGAGGGGTCTGTGCATATAATAAATAAATCTGTTTAACCAGTTCAAGGTGGGTGCAGCAGTACTATGGCTTTCCATTCTGGGTCAGTTAGCTCAGCTCACTCAGATAAGCAGCGAGTGATAAATTTTTTGCCTAGGTACGAGAGAATGGGTCTGTGCAATAAGTGTGCATTATATAAAAAAAAAATCCTGCCACACACAGTGCATAATGGGGAAAAAATCTGATCATATTATTGGGTTAAAATAGAGACTTTGAGGTGCATTTTCGTATGATTTTTACGGTTGTATTCTAGATTTCTTGGTCTCATTTGATAGACTGGAAGGTATTACAGAAATAAAGACGATTTTGATTGGTTTCAGGACTGAAAGTTGCTTGAGATTGAGCTCAAATTAGTGGAAATGTTAAATTTTTGCTGATATTCCAGAGTGCAAAAATTATGTCACTCGTCCAATATGCGCCCAGTTAGTCAGTCTAATATGTGCTCAGGAATGTGCTGACATTGTTTATACAATTATTACAATAATTCAGTAGTCTGTATAACAGTAAATCTTCTATTTTTTGTGTGAAAAAAAAATCAAAATGGAAAGCAAGTGTAATACAGGAGAGGCCTGGGGACCTAACTAATGAACAGAAGAAAAATTTTGTTTTTTAGTACCAGAAATATCTACATCATTTATTCTGTACGCTATTTATAAATCGGCAATTTTTAATTTTGTGTGAAACTGACCAAAATTACCAATTTCTGATCACTTAATTGGGTAGTTGGAATAGGTAAATCGGCAGTTTTTATACTGAATCAATAAAATGTAAGAAATATTAATGAAATAGCTATGAGTTTGGTCAACTGGAACAATGGAATTGGTGTAAAACAGGTCTCAGAGTGGGCATAATCCCCAATGCATAAATATCGCCAAGACCATGATAAATTCCTCAAACCTGAGAGCAATTCTCAGATGAGGAGTTCCAACCCTGATAGGTTAAGGATCATTTCTTCACATTCCACAAGATTCATGGTAGCACACTTTATACTAGACAATGCCACAGGTTAAAAAAGGTCAAAAAATGGTTGCAAGAGAACAATATTAATGATATTCAGTGGTCAGGAATCCCATTGAATATTGTTGGAATGAAATGAACACAAAACTCAATTCCAAAACACATCAATAGTGCCACACTTGGTGGATTCAAGAAATGGACTTCACTTGAAAAAAGTTTGTTTCTATGCTTAGCTGCCTGAAATTGTTAACTGAATCTCATGGATAAAAGACCAAATATTAAAAAGCATGTTGAATTTTATTTTTATCTTTATACTATGTTACTTGACATTTCTTTGCAATTTAGCAGTGGTCTGTATCCCCTCCCCCTCCTTGCCTGTCATGTTATAAGAGGATTTATTGTAGCAGCAAATGAATCTTCACATTCTCATTCAATAAAAATAATGCATTTTGTTTGCTCACTCATTCGTCCTTGTTTCAGCACTTCATTTTAACTCCTTTTATTATGCTTAACCCTTTGAAAGTCAGAACCCCTGATCCGAAACTTGCTCTCAGGGTCGGAGAATTAAAAAAAAAAAAAACTTATGAAATGACAGAGAATCTTTTTCCGAAGGTAAGGAAATCAAAAGTACAAAATTTAGTGATAAACTTATGGAATTACACTCTCCCAAAGTTAGCGGTCTCGATATTTACACATCCGCGATTTCACCCAATTTGAGCCTTATTTTCAGCCAATCCCATTGTACCAGTCGACCAAACTCACAGCTATTTCAATAGAATTCCTTCTATTTTATCTACTGAGTACAAGAAACTGCCCATTTACCTATTTCAACTACACAATAAAGTGAACAGGAATAGGTTATTTGGCCAATTTCACACAAAATTCAAAAATTGCCAATTTCAAAATAGGGTCCAGAATAAACAATTTAGACATTCCTGGCACTAAAACAACATTTCTTCTGTTCATTGGTCACATTCTCAGGCCTCACCTATATAATGCTTGCTTTCCATTTTAACCCTTAAACGGTCCAAACGTAGATCTACATTTGCACGCGTAGCGCTCCAAACGTAGATCAACGTTTTATTTTTCATTCCCTCAAATTTGGCACAATAGGCTTGAGTCACCTAGACATGAAAGAATGGGTCTGTGCACAAAGTGTTTGCACTATTAAAAAAATCTGGGAGCACTTAGTACCTTGTGGGAGCACGAGTTCAATTGTGCGCCAGCTAGAGCAAACAGCATGGCAAACACCAGGGATTCACTGATGCCATGTCGCATTAACACTCCCATTTTAAGAGGAAAGTAAAAATAGGTTAGATAAATACATGAGTGAGTGTGGGTGGGTGAGTTGGACCTGACTAGTTTGTGCTACTAGGTCTGATGTCATGCTCCTTCCTTCAATGGATGTGACCTGACTAGGTGGGTCATTGGTCTATGCCAGGGGAGGGGGGGGATGTACCTGCCTTGCATGGGCCAGTAGGCCTGCTGCAGTGTTCCTTCTTTGTGTTCTTATGTATTTGGCAGGCTGGCTTGCTTTGGCTGTCTCTAGCTGTCTCTCTGTCTATATCTCTATCTGTCTATATCTCTGTATCTGTCTATATCTCTGTCTATCTATATATCTGTGTATCTATATCTCTATCTATATCTCTGTCTCACATGTACACATAAGTACAGTTATTATACATGATGTAAATTACCTAGGATAATCCAAAAAATTCCAGGCAAAGATAGACAGACAGACAGACACAAACATGTTTGTGTGCATCAGTGAAATCAAATAAAGCCAGGGTTCCCCTGAGCAACCATTTATCAAATGTCACCGAACTGATAACAGATGTCATAACACGATTCTTCAAGGAGTTTGATATCCTATACTCCAGGCAGACAGACAGATAAGCAGAGACAGGCAGGCAGATACAGATAGGCAGGTAGACAGACAGGAAGGTAGACAGGCAGATAGACAGACAGGCAGATAGACAGACAGGCAGATAGAAATAGACAGAGACAAGACATGTTTGTGTGTAACAGTGATAACAAATACAGCGAGGGTTAGCTGGAGCAGTGGGTATTTATCAAATGTCACTCGGTTGTCAACAGTATAGGGATGCCTTTCATAACACTATGCTTCAAGGTATATGCCAGGGTATCTAATACATTGCTGGGACCTATAAATACTTTGTATATATTTCTAAACAATAGTAAATAACCCAAGCAGGTGTAAATGTCCACCTGTCAATGTGATTGTGACTATTTGAGCAGTATTTCAGTATCTAATATTAGTGTCAGAACAAAGACTGGCTATGAAATTACAAAAACTATTATAAATTGTAATTATCAGAACATAAAAATATATAAATTGAAATAAAAACGAGAAAAAAAAGGAATATTGGCAACACTTCTGCAAGTGGCAGGAGTCGATGTTGCAGGAGTCGATGTTGCTGACAGGTGAGCATCCAGAGCCAACTTCATGGTCTTATATCTCGGTAAGAACTGACCCTAAATTTTTTTTTCATCCTATAACATGTAGAAAAATGTGCTTTTCATTTTAAAGGAAAAAATAATTTTTTTATTTTTCAAAATATTCGGAGCGCCATGCTAGTGAACGTAGATCTACGTTTGGACAGTTTAACCCTTTGAGGGTTTTCGTCGTACTAGTACGTCTTACGCGTAGGGGTTTTTGACGTACTAGTACTCATAAATTCTAGCGGCCTCAAATCTAGTGGGAGAAAGCTGGTAGGCCTTCATATGAAAGAATGGGTGTATGTGGTCAGTGTGCACAGTCTAAAAAAAATCCTGCAGCACACAGTGCATAATGAGAAAAAAAAAACTTGGACCATTTTTTTTGAATAAATCAGCGACTTTGCAGTGTATTTTCGTATGGTATTTATTGTTGTATTCTAGTTTTCTTGGTCTCATTTTATAGAATGGAAGACATATTAC